ATGGCTTTTTACTTGATTAATCACTCTTAGTTATATTTTTTAAAAATTCAAGACTATGAGAAGTCCAATCTATTTTAGGGTTATATTTTTTTAGCCATGATAAACCTAAAATGACTAGATTAGAGAGAGATTTAATGATATTAAATATTATAAAGCTACTATGACCATTAGTTGCTACTTCTATAGGAAGGGTTTCATGAGTAACATTTCTTGAGGACCACAACTGACTATCTATGACTTCTACTTGAATAAATTTAGTTTTCTTCTCTAAAAGTATGCTATGTCTTTTAGCAAATTCTTCATCTAAGAAACATGTTGAGGCTCTTGAATCTAGCAAAGCAGAGACTTTGTGATGTTTAGGTCCTAGAATAACATTTATCATAAAACATGGAGAGGGTTCTGAGGAGAGAATAGGACCTTTACTAGGTGTTGTATAAAGTTCCAGCTGCATGGTCCCTATTATAACTAGACAAATTTGTTTTTCGACATGCTATCTTCTTTGATCGCCATACTCTTCATTTTATGGTTGCATCATTTCTTTGGACAATGTTGAGTAGTGTGTTTAGATTCTCTATAATATTAGCACAATCCTTCTAACAACGATGAGTCTTTTCTTGTTCAATAAGAGGTTTGAAATGTATTGCATCAATTTGCATATCCTCTACTTTCAAATGTATGTATTGAACAGATGTTGGTGTTATCATTGAATTATAGTAACGTTGAGATCTACTTATATGGTTCTCAGATCAAAATTCAAAAAGACAAATGTCACACTGCACAGCAAAGACAATTTCTTGACTCAATGTTTCAGGGTCAGGTAAGTTGAGCATTAATTTTTTTACCTCATATTGTAATCCGTAAAGAAATTGGCTAACAAGTGCTGCATTATCCCACTTGATATCAGTTGCAAGTTGTCAAAATTATGAAGTATACAACGTTACTGATTAATTATCTTGTCGTAAAATATGGATCTTATTGATTGCAACACGAATTGTATCATGTTATCCATACATGGATCAAAACTCTATCAAAAAAGCCTCTACATTATACAATATTGGATCTCGTCGTTCAAAAAAAGATAAAAACCATAATAATGTTGAATCTGAAAGAAGCGTACAAATGAATCTAACTTGCAATCTTGGGGTTGGATAGTTTTGGGATTGAAGTTCAATCATAAGTTGTACTTGATTGATAAATCTTCTAAACTTTGATTTGATCCCATCAAACTTTTTGGGTAGGGCAATTCTAGGTTCTCTAACACTGGAAGGGCGTTCCACCATAGGAGAAGGGATATGATTTGGTACAGATGTTGAAGCAGCTCCAATCATTTCTATATCTTCACTTCCTGCCAATCTTGTTGCTTCTTGTGGTGGTAAATTGAGTTGATGAATTGCAAGTATTAACTCCTTCAATTGCATTTGTGCCATTGCACTCTTCATTTCAATAAGTTCTGTCATGATAACACTTAGAAAAAAAAGATATCTAATATTGCTCAAGATAAATAGAAGAGAGGACTTAAAAACACAGAAAACATTAAAGACAATATCAGTTTAGAAGAGGATAATCCGTAACTTTTAATACTCTTATGTCTTATCAAGAGAGAGGGATAATCCACTCTTAATCTAGATTAGACAAAGCTCTGATATTATAAGTGTACTCTTGTCAATCTGTCAAGGACAAGAACTTGATAAAGACAAATAAATAAGTAAGCCTTCTCTCAAAGAAAGATGACAAAATAGAAATAACTCAATATGTATATTAAGAAAGAAACTCGAATGGCTATTGCCAAAAGATAAGAAAACTAGAGACCCTTGAAATTAGACTAGAAGTAAGAAAGGAATTGATAAGAGTGAAGAGGGCTTCACTCTTGTCTCTATATATATTATCTAACTAGGAGCTACTTGGCAATGTTCTATAGAATATCCAAGATGTGTTGACTTTGTAAGACACATGCCTTGACTTACAAGGCAAGTTTTTCTATGTGTAGGCCACATAATTAAGTTGGTCTTGAAGCTAACAACATGTGTGGCACATGGCGAATTTATTGACCATGTTTCTAATTCAAAAAGTCAATTAAAGACACCTATAAAGTCAAAGCAGTGTCTATAAAGCTTCTAGAAAGCTTCCATAATAAATATTATAAAATTGAATTACTTTTATCTACTTTTATTTACTTCTACCTATTTATATATGTAATTAGTGGCTTACATGCATATGTTCGTGACAAAGATCAGAGAGTGGAATTTATGAGCAAACTTGAAGAAAGGCTTTTAAGCATTAGTTTCATGTCATTTGAATCAATTATCAAATGAATGTCAAATGAATGAGATTTTTAAAGATTTTTAAAGTTAGTAACGTTTTTGATGGGATTAGGATTTAAAAAATAATAATATATTTATAAATTTCAAAATTTCTTGAATTTTTTGGTATGTATATAAGTGAAATTTGAAAAAAAATATTGATGTGCTAGTTGTAAATGTGCATACAAATTTTGAAGTCAATTATTTAGGACTCTATTAGACTTGATAGAATTGTTGTTGCATTTTTTCTTATCTTCCATAGCTAAGTGCTTGGTGCATTTTCAAGGAAGAATACATGTAATATAATATCATGGTGAATACAAAGTCTAGTCCTCTTTGGTGGAGAGTGCCTTGACATTGATAGTGTTGATCAATGTTTTTGTATACTAGTTAAATTATAAAATCTCATAATCTCTCTAGTCTTTGGATGGTTGTACTAACATTTTGGATATAATGCACTTGGCTTTATATAAAGTTATTTCTTGTATTAATAAATCTAGGGCCTTTCAAAAGCTCTTCGATATGTTTTTTATATCATATTATACAATCTTCGTAAATAATGTATGCAATGTGTATTTGGTGGTGGTCTTTTTTTTAAGATGCCAAACTAATTTGTTTCTATCATCTAGTTTTTGTATTTTTTTATTATCTTTAAGACTACCATAATCTTAGATGCTAGTTATTTCTTCTTGATGCTGGCTAATATGGTTGTAATGAATTTTTCTAGGTCTAGTGGTTTTGATAGTTGATTGTTGGAGTTTACTAAGCATGTTGTTTTGTGTCTCAATTAATTGTGGCATTTTAGATGTGGCAATAGAATTGTTACATACATAGTGGTTCCTTCTCTTTTAATGGTTGCATTGGGAACAAAAATCACTTAGCTTTAGGTGATATCTTATATTTTTAAGATCTAGTAGATTTTAAATTACTATTAATGGAGATAGAAGTTCATAGTATTTTTAGTAATACTCTTGCCTAAAGCCTTAAAAGTTTATTCTTGTAATTCTTTGAGGCTTCTATATTAAAAATTTCAACTAGTAATTATTTGAGGATGTCAAAGACATAAATCTCACAGAACTAAAAGATCAATACATTCTTGTATTAGTCAAAAAGATTGAAGAATCATTCAAAGATGGTATAATATTAAACTATAATAGCTATTGCCAAAGATAAGAAGATTAGAAAGTCTTAAAACAAGACTAAAGACTAGAAAGGCATTGAGAAGAGTGAAGAAGGCTTCACTCTTGCTTCTATATGTACTATCTAATTAGGAGCTATGTAGCGACATTTTATGAGACCTCTAATATGTGTCTAAATTGCAAGATACATGTCTTAAATAATTACTAGTCTTAACTTGCAAAGCAAGTTTCTTATATGCATGCTTCATTATTAGCTTGTATCACAAGCTATCAACATATGCAACACATGCTTAGATTATTGGCCAAGTTTCTAACCTACTAATCAACTACAAACATGTATAAAGTCAAATATGTGACTGTAAAGCTTCTAAGAAGCTTTTCTATAAGATAATATCAAATCTACCTACATTTACTTCTATCTAATATTTCTTATTTGAGTATATATATATATATATATATATATATATGGCACAAAATCTCGTTTAGAAATTCTTTCATTTTCTAATAGTTTTAGAGGTCTTTTACTTGTATCCAGATATTTTACAAATTTTAGTTTTGGAGGTTATAGGATATTTTAGGATATCTTGGAAGTTCTAGTTTGGAGTATGGATGAGCTTTCTATGTGGTGAGGATGACAACTTGGTTTGTGTGGTGAAGATGAAGTCTTGATTTTCTAATTTGTGAGTTTTGGAGAGGCCATGGATTCTCCTTTTATCTTCAAAAAATTGAACTTTGAAATTGCCCTTGCCAAGTAATGTGATGGTAGTGACTGACTGCAATGAAGGTTTTGCCCATGCATTTTCCATTTTCTATCCTATCGACTGGCTTTGTGGATACATCTGTAATGGTGCATTGGTTCTTGTTGTGAAGACGTTGAGTGTCTAGACGCTCTAAATTGGCCTACTACTCAAAGAGTCCACAAGTCCGTTCGAGACACCTCTGATGCATCGATCCTTCTAAAGAATATAAAATGCGTAAAGGTTCTACCATCTGTGATGTAACCTGTGCAAATTCGATATCAACAATCTATCCTAGCCGTCGCTCTTCCCGCTGTACTCGCTCTATTCTACCATCTCGCTCTACCAATTGAGCTAGGACAGTTAACAAATTCCCACACCCTGGCCGTTGCAAGACTACTCTACCATCTGAGCTACGTCCCTGAGTAAAATCAACAACTGGATGTCACTTGTTGGTAGTGTGTGAGCGTTCACAATCTATATACTGTTGTAACACTCTATTCTCTTTGCTACTCATGCTCACCCAATTGTTTCATGCTCCCACCTTTGATGTGTGTGTCACGCAGGCGTATTTCATGTTGCTTACTGATCTTCAAACTACCTTCTTGACTGAAAATTTTATGGAGATGAACCAATCTTGATTGAAAACTCAGCAACAATAAACTCAATTTTAACCAAGACATATATATATATATATATATACATATATACATTCATATCGATGTATTCTTTGACCTTCCACTGTGTGTTTTCACTTACACACATTCCACAAATTGATATTCTAAATTATTGAATTATGAAAAATAAAATGCTCAGCTGCAATGTTAGTATCTCAATGCCCCCACCTAAGCTTGATAATTGCACATATTGTACAAGTTCAATAAAGATACAAACGCTCATGTTTTAAAGTGTTTTCTGAATCAGTAACTTGTTTTCTTCTTATTACTTATATGTTCAATGCTGTAAATATGTGATATGTCCAATTCAAGCATATTTTTCATTGCAGAGCTTTTGAAATAAGCTGTCTAAATCTACTGTCGTGCATCATCAAAATTATTTTGGTGAACAATGAGCCTCCAATTGTATAAATACTATTGCATTCATGATTCAACTTTCTTTTTACCATATCATGCCAATAATGCTTTTAATTGAAATCAGATGTAAGTATAGTATTGCCACAAGCTTTCCTGTTCTTTTGCATTGTTTTCTTCCTTTCTCCTCCTGCCTGCAGGAAACCTGCTTGTCTGCATCCAGGAATAGCATCAAGATATTGTATGCACACCATGCTCCTTTGGTTTGGGGGAGCCTTATGTTATGTGTCATGTGATGTAGTGTTGATGGGAAAAAAATAATGTGGAGATTGTCCATAGGTGGTTGTTTTCTTTTTCCTTTTCTTTGTTGCATTTTTTCCAAAAAGACATGTACAGCTTTGCAGGAATGGATCATGAGGAACTGTGCCATGCATTTGCCAAGTCATTTGCATGTGTCCAGCTGGAGGTTCTTGCAGCTGCTCCCTCAACCTGCAAAGTTTCCTTTATGAAAACCCTTCAAAGGGGGTTGTGATGCAAAGGAACATATATTTATTTTGGCTTCTTGAATGAATGTCTTCTGAATTTTCAATGTGCAGTTGGTTAGTTACATCAAATTAGCTATATGTTCTTCAATAATAACTTACAAATTAAAGGGGGTTTTCTTTTTCTTCTTTTGTATGTTAGTTTCAGATGGGTTTACCTCAGTTGATACATATCAATTAGCAGGACACTGGTGTGTATGATTTTTTCATACTTGTCCACCAGTTCCAACCTGGTTACCCCGATCAATAATTCCTTGAATGCCTGACTGGAGTGCTTCGTCCGCCTTGAAATAGAGAGCAGAGAGTGAGTATTTAGTCACTTGCTTCACACTCATCCACGAAGTGAAACTCAAACTGTTCTTGTCTGTACCAGAATATGCCACATTGATCTGCAATTATTTGAATATCACAGATTAGATTGGCATCCATTCCATACAGGCTGATTGCATCAACTCAATAATGCAAAGGCAGCTATAGAGGTATTTCTATTGAACCATAATTTAGTTATGGATTTAATTGTTATTGATGTGTACATATGGCAAGAACCTATTTCATTTGAAGATCAGTTTCTAGGTCATTATTTTTAGGGAGTTGCTTAGCAATCAGCTTAAAAAGTGATAGAGAAGGTGTCCCCATGAACTGTAATAATTAGTATAGCTAAATTAACCCAAAACCAGCTGCAAATACCAGATTATAGCCATCTGTGTTTCTTCACTATCCTATGTATGGTCACCAGTTATTCCAGTTGTGATTCCCACTAACAAACTTGACAGTGTTTGTTTTGCATGTAATCACAGTCAGCAATCATCTTAATGTGGCATGAGAATTGCATAAAAAGACCTCTAACAACCAGGCTTGATTGGACAACTTACCCGAGTGATACAAATGGCAGGGTTGGTTGTGTTCTGAGAAATACAAGTAGCAATGGGAGTTGCACAATTATTATCAAGACAGAGCACAGAGCTATTTCCACAATCCCTACAATCATCATCTTTCCTGCTCAATCATCAAGATGTACACAAAACAGATTAAAAAAATTATCCACAATTGCATGCAAATGCCACATTACATTGACAATTGTGCAATTATTTGGAAGCACTGACTGAATCTCAAGCCTGTAAAAAATTTTACAGAGGTGTGTCTAGGTTCCATCCTATGCTGCAACTATCTTCACACTCAACCATCTGGCTCATCTGTTTGTAATGCCAACAGTAGTTGCAGTTGGAGCTCCTAAAGCTTATCATCATGTCTGCAAGGGATGGGCATACCATGTGAGATTTTTCAGCACTCCCTGCTCAAATTCCATAACCAGTAATAATCCTCCTATTTTCCCCTGCATTCACATGGCCATGAATTCCTTAGGGTTCTGCCTTTTCAGGATGTCTGGAAGCCAAAGCTGCACAGTTGCAGTGGTTGTTGAATGATGAATCAAGCAAGAACAAAGAATGGGTTACTGAAGATATGTTTAATAGATCTAGACACCAAGAAGTGGTCATCTCAGTCTGCTATGATTGGAGCATGTGATTGCCCATCTATTTTCTCATATATTGATTTCCAATCCACATGATTAGACATGATCCACAAAATGCAGAACATAGAGATTGGGAGTACCAGATATTAGTTCCAGCAGAGGTGGAGATAGTCTCACTGCAGTCATATGCCTAAAAAGTTCTAGGTGTAGGATTTAGGATGTGGCTAAATTTTGTAATTATGCCTGATTGTTTATTAGAGATTGAGATGAAGATTACTGACAACAGAAGTGGAGAAGGTTCTTGGCTCTGAGACTATGGTTCCATTGTCAGTTGCCGAATTATATCCAGCATACACCAAGAGACTGGCAGCTTCAGAAAACTGCACATGCATCCAATTCTTACTTCACAAACAAGCATTGCTGGGGGGAAAATTCTGAAAATTTAGTTGGAGCATAATCTTGCAATTTCTGTTTGCATACAGAAAATGTATACTTATCCATGCATGATGTACCCTTGTATTCTGTGTTTTGGATCTACAAAACTATGCACAAGGGTCGGATTATAATTTCATCAAATGATACAATTAGTGCGAGGGTGAGGGCTCACTGTGGTGGCCACGGATGTCAAGGTTTGATTATAGATTTGGAAGAGACTGAGCTGATCAACAATCGGGCGGAATACAGTCACTTGAGTTCCCAGAGGAATTCCCTGCCAAGAAATACACAACTCTCCAATTTATGAATTCGATTCATAAAATTGTGATGTCTTTCGGTAAGATGCATTGCAGCATCTGGAAACTGTAGACTAATGTTAAAGATGAGTGACCTTACAGGTGAGGTATGGGGACTGCAGGGTGAGAGGACATTGAGCTTGGAATTGGAGTTGTTGTGCCACGTTGCTCTGTTTCCTCCCAACGCTACCGCGACTGTGATTGCGTCTCCCGTGCCGATTGGTTGCAATTGGGCACATGGACTCATCACTGGATTTGTGTCCTTAGAACTGCTCGTTTTCGTTGCTGAAGCGAACACCTGTTCAGTTGTTCACATAATCTTAGCAGGACGCGAGTATGAGAAGGAGTCGGTTGAATGCATTGTGCAAAGTATTATGATTATATCACACAGAACGTGGCACGTGTTCTCAGGACACTGCTTCAGTAAGTTGAATTATGCAGTATTTACATCGTGGTTTTGTTATCCGATGACTGATAATATGCAAGAAAACCAACTGTCTGCTGCATTTCCTTTGATAACAGCATGTTTCGATAACATTGACATGCTTGTTTCAACATGCTCATTGCTAGATTCAATTTCTGCAGTACCTGCATGTTGGCAGAAGATTGACCTGAAAAGCGGTGAGAGCCACCAGTATGGAGTATGGCAGTGCCCAGAGTGAGCAACGAATTGCCTTCAAACGAATCCTTTCACGTTCATTTCCTCCTTTTCTAAAATTAATAACCATCGTTACCAGTTCAATTTTTCTTTCGTCAACATCCATTCACTTCTGATCCCTGAACAGGGACAGAGACAGAGAGAGAGAGGGAGGGAGGGAGAGCTGCAGCTTCGATTTGAGGCCTCAAATTAGTTGCTTGAGCTTCCAGATTACACATGAGACGGCCTTTGCAATCCCTGACTGCAACTATTATGTCCGAAAAGCAACCTGAGTTAGAGCCTGCCAACGCTTCCAAGTTCATGTCAATTGAGTTCAGGCAGCATCAGGAGGACGATGTGTGGTAAGTCTGTCTCATAGAGGTTAATTCTTCTTATCGACATCAAAGATCCCTAAGTATTGAAGAAAAATCAGCACGCTCACACCGAAAACTCTAGAAAACAAATCCGCCAGAATGCTGACGAGAGACTGTTTTGCATTTCATCAATCGAGCCACTACGCAATAATATAATTCAAAGAGGCACTCGTATTCGGCTCCTCATCTTTTCCTTGATATTTTCAGTGTGATCTTCCTTATGAAATCCCTCCTCAGTAGTTCACATTATTTCCGATGCTTCGAACCCTGAAACGATCCAAAAGCTTTACAAATCCTCCAAAACATAACAAGTTGTTTCCTTCAAGTGACTTTTGTGATTATAAGCCTATATTCCAATAAAACTTCTGTAATCTTCAGTAGTTCAGGATTTGTCTTCACTATCCAATTGCTGAATCAATATTTAATAGCTTCTGTTAATTTAGGAAAGGCAGTGTAACTTGTTCTCCTGGCTAAACAAAACACCTGCCTCATTTCTTAGACCTGCATACCTAGTCGTTCCATCGATGTTTGTCTGCAGAGTCAACTTCCAGAGGTAAATATTAAAAATGCGAACAAAAAAAAGTAAATAAATTCCACAATATACAAATATCAAGTCATCAACTCCCAGGCACGCTAAGATACTGAAGCGTATGCCATGTATGACTGCATCACACGAGAGGATTGGCGAAGCACATGTGTTCTGTGGCAGACCGGTACAACGAATACAACATAAGCTAGAATTCATCTTACATTTCACACATTCAACCTTCCCATACTACAAACGCTACGTTCTGCATGGGTTGATGTGCAGAACATCAGAGAATTCACTTTTACAGTAGCTCAGAGACCAGAAACTCGCAATCCCAAGGCGAAGTACAGATTGAATTACCATATGATGATTGGTTCCACGAAAATATGAATGCACACGAGCGTAGCGGATGGATTGATTGAGCCATTCCGCCTGAAACAGAGTTCCGTGTGAGGACTATTATTCGGAGCGAGTCGTGTGGAAATGAGAAGCACTCACGGCTTGTGCTGTGCTGCAAGGGTTCCAAGCTCTCGTTCTGCAGTGCTGCGTGGAAGCTATTCAGGGTTCCGCGCAGGTCTCGAAAGCTGCGAGGTGGAGGGATTAGCGTATTAGGGCCAGCATTGAAGAAGAACATGACGCTGCAATGATACCCGGTCACCCAGCGTTCGTTACGATGGTGAATGATATCCATCGGAAGCTTCGTGAACCTCGACAACTGAATGTGGAGTCGATGAAAGTGGGAAGGACGAGTTTTGAATTAACGACATTCGTTCCTAGCATCATATTTTGTTCCTCTGAAAATAAAATAAGAGTAAAAATCCGCGTGATTGCAACCAATTGTTGGATACTTCTAAAATTGAAAATTCTCAAACGTATACTACTTTAAAATACATATCAAAATAAATTATTCTTATTTATTTTTTTGGCATTTAAATAGTAAATATTTTTAATTTAGGAAATAATTAGTTGTGCAAAATTACAATGATAAGAATTATCTTATATTTCATTTTTCCACACTCTTATCCATGTTCTTCATTATTTAAAAAAATCTTACAAGTTTTTGGCATATACTTTGGTGTGATATCTTCTTATATTATAAAAAAATTCAAAATTACATGATTTACGTACATCTTAGTTTTTTATTTTAAATATTACAATGTTTCTAAAATAAATATCAATTTAAATGTCTGTTTTTATAAATTTTGGTATGTCACGTTATATTATTTAGTATATTAAAAAAACAACTAAGAAAAATAAACCTTCTACAAGATTAAATAAGTTATTTGAAAAAAACATTTAGAATAACTTGGCACAAGAGATAAGAATTGTGGTTTTCTACATCATTCTACAAATAATAATAATAATAATAATAGTATATTTTTTTATACAAATTTAAATTTGAAATAAGTTTTGCTATTGAACTTTTATGACATAGTTTTCAAATTTTCTTGGAATATGTTGCATGTTTAATTGATCCATTTCACTTTGTTGTTGATCTTTTTATTGTATTACTTGAAAAGTTTTGGATTTTACAAAAAAGATGGGTTATATATAGATATTTTATGTATATTAAATGCATTATTAATATATACATATATATATATATATATATAAAAAACTTGGATCTATAAGTCTTTTTTAGTAGAACCAATCATTATGAAATCTAAAGATCTATTATATAAGCATTTCATGTTTTGGATATTTACTGACTCTATTGTTAGCACAAATCTTTTCTGTTTCCTTCTTGTTACACATAATACATAAAAGCAAGCTAAAGATAATTAATAATTTGTTTCATTTGACTTATCATAAGTCTTTTTTATCTACTTATGATTACAATTATTCTTCTTATTTGATCTTGAAATTATTTTATCACTGTAAATTTTATGGATTGTCTTCTTTTAGGTAAATAATGTTTTTATGTTGTTAATTGGTTTTTTTCTTTCCTTAATTATGTGTATACAAACATACATATACAAAGGATAAGAATAAACATGTCTTAAAGATATAAAAAATAAATTAGAAAATATAAACCTCAAATATATTAATTTTGTTTGTCAACACAACCAACATCAACTCTAATTGGCCAAAAAACTATTCAATTTAAATATCTTAAGTCATGTTTATAATTTTACTCAAAATACTTGATTTATCCTGATAATTAGTAATTTAAGAATAAAAAAGTCTAAAGTTAAACAACCTAGATATGTTTGTAATGGATTTCAAATTAATTAATAAATATCACAATGCCAATTGTACAACAACCACTAAGATCTTTGTATTGCACTAAAATAATTGCTTTCTAGTTGTAAACGCATAATAGATTTGAGAACTTACAGATGCTACCATGTAAAACAATGATAAACTTATCTAAAAAAAGAAAACTAATAAAAATAATAAAAAAATCTATGTATTGGAATATATTTTTTTTTAAAACTCTTTAATTTGACTTATTTCCAAATATTAATCCAAACAATTGATTTTGGTTTTAATTTTGATTATTTATTTTTTAAGATATGTTTAAGATTTTTGTGTTTATACTTCACTACTTTTTAAAAGGTACAATAAAAAATAAAATAAACTAATGTAGTCTATTTTATATTATTTAAAGAATATATTTTTGTATTATATTAATAAGTCATATATATTTATATAAAGAAAGAGAAAAAGAGAGAATATACATTCAAAAATTAGATAATTTAAAATTTACGTTATACATAAATAATCTATATAATGTCTTTTAAAATTGCAAATGCTCAATCAACTTTTTTATATCTTATTAATGATGTTCATTATTAATTTATAGATGATTTGATAATTATTGGATTAATGGAAATTTTCAACCTTGATTCTCTTTATTTCTAAATAACATTAAAATAAATGTATCCATTTAAAACTAATGAATATTGGACTTTAATTTATAGTATTCATATTATTAGAAAGATCTGATACTAATTGAAGAATGATTTTAAGCTATAAAATGAGTAGTTTTGTTATTTGTTTTGCTGTATATTCAAATTTAGATGTTAATAAATATTCAATCGATGTGTACTGTATGTTTGTAAATGTGTATTTCTGAATACGTCTATGTTTACACACCTATTTATATCAAATACATTAAATAAAATCTTCCAGAATTGTACAACTGTGTAATATTTGAACCAGATCCAATTATGCATATTTCCTTGAAAATCTCGTTTTCACTGGATTACAAAGCGATCTTTTTGTGTTTTTATTGAAATGGTGATGACCCATTCAGCACAAATTTCTTTTTATATTAGCAACAGATTCATATTACCACATGAAAATCACTGTAGAAAAATATTCTTGTGGGTTTGCATCCTCAAATATAAATGTAAAACATTGAGATAAAAAATAACTTTTGACCTAGATACATTGCTGTTTCACAATGGATATTATGATACGGTTTATTCTCACATGTTGTTTTGCTATTATCAAAAATCATGTATTGTAACTTTTGAAACATACATAATACAGTTGTCATTTTTTTTAGAAGAGTGTTAAATAGACCCATTCTTTTATTAAATTGACCCACCCTTGATGAAGAATATGGTAATCATGTTGAATAAGGTTGATTTTCATTGATTTCAAATCCAATAGTGGAGAAATGAATCTAGATGTCATTTTTCTTTTTCACGAGTGAGTCAATTAGTAAAAAATTTGGTCATTCCTCTCACTTAATTATATACATTCATATACTTATGTATATTTATTCATTTAAAGAAGATTTCATCAAAAAAAATATAATTTCTTTTCCTCACACGCTACGACCCAATGGAGTCGCCCCCCATGGCCACGTAAGCCGCCACCGTTCGTCCCCACAAGAGCGTGATGAAGCAAGCAGAGCGCCCGTAATGACTCTCGACCGACGTGGCGGGACGCCAGTGGCCACGCGAACGCCATTTGGGCAGGAGCTGAAACGTGCCACGTGCCATGATTTGGTGCACTATTCCCCCTACCACCGTGGCAATCATCCCGCGGGTCGGGGAGAGAAACCCCTCCCATCCGCTGCTCAGGCGTGAGCCCAGCGCTGCCCGGAGGGGGCTGCCCAAGCGGCTGCCCGTGGGCGGGGCTTCGTTGTGCTTGGCTGGGTTTGGCTTGTTTGGTGAGCCTCCTCGAGCTCCATCTGTCAATCAGGCTCTGCGGCCTTCTTCCCAACGATGGCTACTGCGAGATAATATCATCCACTTCTAATGGACGTGTTTGGGCACAGCTTTGTGATGTGGATGGAGCTGCAGTAACTAAGTAAGTCAGTCAGTCAGTCAGTAAGTCTGTCTGTGTGTCAGTCATTGAGTCAGGCAGGCAGGCAGTCAGTAAGTGGAAGGGAAGCGAAGCGAAGCGAAGGGAAGGGAAGAACGCGGGCGAGAGAGAGAGAGAGTGAGTGGGTGAGTGAGTGAGTGAGTGATGAAGTGAGAGCATTACATATCAATTCGCAAGCCCTATGTGGATCTCTTGACGTTGTGTTAATGCGTGGTGGTGTGGTCGTGGCCTTGTGGGGTTTTGCTGCTTCGACGTCGGTGAGTTTACAATATTGGATGATGGTCCTTTGCTTGCTTGTCTTCGTGGATCAGGACCTTAGGATGGTTGTGTGTGTGTGTGTGTGTGTGTGTTTCTCCAATGGATTGAGTTTTTTCTTTTTTCTTTTTTCTTCCTCGGAGATGATGTTGGTTGGTTGGATGGCGTGACTCTATGGTCATGTGTTTCGTTGGGGCAGTTGGGTACATCTCATGAATACTAAAAATTCTATATTGGTGTGTTTGGATTCAATGGTGTTGAGTTTTTGTCATTTCCAGTGACATTTGGTTGTGGTTGAAAGAGTGTGGAATGGCCGAGGTGGGTGCAGTGGTGTCATTTGGCTATGTGCGCTGGATGCAGGGTTTTTGCGATTGGGTGGAAGGGGTTAAGGAGTACTGAGAGTGTCGGTGTGGTGTGGTGTGGTGGTTGTGTTGATACGTTCGTGGGTGGGCTTGCTGGGGAGGGGATCGAAGGAGGCGGAGAGAGGGAGGAGGGTCACACACAGATGAAACAAGGCGGAGAGGATCGCATACAGATGACAGTGGGGTTGCAATGAGAGATGAGGCTAGGAACAATGCAGCGGCAAGCGGGGGATGCAGTGTGCGCATGTGGGGCTACCTGCCTGCGGCTTCCCCTCAGCGGGCGCCGCTGTTGCAGCCTACACCGGTGCCCGTTACGCCTCTCAATGATCCGCTCAAGACGGTATGCAATGGCGGGTGCGGCTTTGGGATAGCCATCTCTGGTACTCAGTCTGGCCAAACCAAATCAATAGGATTGAAGAAACGAAATGCATCACGTTAATATTTTTGACCCAGGGATGAGGGATGACGTATCACACGAGGGATCCAGGGTTTTGATTGCTGTTTGATTTTCGTTGTTGGTTACACATGCAGAATCGGGTAAGCTCAATACATGGGGTTCTACTACCGAGCTTGGACAGTGCTACCTAATATCTGGCAAACAGCAGGTAAGTGCTCGGTTGGAGTAGTTTTACAACAAGTATACTTTTTTTTACTCCCCTTGCGTCTCTAGGGAGTGGATTCTTATGATGGTGTAGGTCGACGGATAGTTGATGCTCTATCTCGTCAGTGATCTGGCCGCTTCCGGATTCTGTAGGGAATTAGGGTATGTAAATGTTGCTCATCCTTCACCAGCAGTTGAGTTGATACAACCACAGGACGCGGGCTAAGTGTTGGCATAAAACTTTGGCTGAATAGTGGGATCTAGAGAGTACCAGTGATTTGATATGCGACCGTGTGTACAGGCTCATCCTGAATGTTCTTGCGTTACAGCTTTCACTGCAGCTGCCAACCGCGCAACAATGGAACAATTTAAGAAGTCTAATCTGCTGTACACTAAACTCAATACTATTAGGCCGAAGTCTGTGGTGCAATTGTGTTTGTGGCTTTGAAGTTCAGTTACTGTAACATCTCTGCCTATTGAAAACAGCATAAGGAGAAGTGAAGGTGGATCAGCGAGGGATTACTATATTGAGGCAACGTACTGCATTATTGCGACAGTGGTGAAAGCATAAGAGATCAGAAGGGGAAAACTCACATTGCGGTTGTTCATGGATGCCCAGGAACTTCCTGAGCCATACCCACTACCCACGGAATCCCCTATTGTTCAAGCAGCTGGAGGTTGGGCACACTGTGCTGCTGTTACGGGTATCTCCTTTTTCTACTCGTCTTTGCTACCTACAGTGAATGATTGACTCACGTCAAACGTCTTGCAATTGTGTTGGGACCTCATGTCCACTGCCTTGCTTGGGATAACCGTAATCATAAAGATTAAGTTTATATCAATCGGGAATCCATGTTGAGCACACTCACTATGACTGTGCTTCATTCCCTTATTTTTCCTCCTCTTCCCTCCTTCACTTGGCTATCGGCATTTGGAAAAAATGACACGACACTTCCTGTCTGGAAATTGAAGTCTAGTTGGAATGGTTCTGAGGAAAACGACGGCAATATTCTTGAATTTTCTCGCTTGTTGTAAATCGCAGACGTTCAATACTCAAAGGATATATTTCTTCAGGATCTTCTTGTCGGAAGTGCCTAGTGTTTAAGGAAATTCTAATCTCTTTTCTTTAGTGGAGCCGGGATTACTCTGCACACTCGATGAGAAACGGGCGTTTGTTCATCTATCACTGAATTCAACATGAAAATAATGCAGTGATACGGTTTCAATATTCCCACAAGTCTTTTCCCAGTCCTGATCAATCGTCTTTGGCTTCCAAATTATATGATCTGAGAGCAATATCATATGTCAGGGGTAGACATTGCAGAACGTGGAAAAAGTTTCGGAAATCCTGTCTGCTGCATATTAGGTCCTAAAGTGGGTAGGCAGTTGTGGGAGGTCTAAGATCCTAGATTAGCCTCTCGTTCTCTTGCTCTTATTTTAAGTCTATTTTTGAATATGTATGGCAGTGGGAGATTCTGTCTCTGCACAGCTCAGTTGGCATGAGTCTGCTTATGCCAAGATTGGAGCACCTGTCAAGCTTTTGAACAACTCCTGCACGCAGCTCACTGCGTTGCCTCATTACCTGTATCTCTGAACGGTAGGATGAGCACGGTGGGTGAAGCTGCTACAGATGATGCCTTCTAGGCTTAAGAGTAAATAGTATTCATAATCGAGAGGAATCAAGTACATCGGCTGTAGTATAGTTTAATCAGTAATCTCCAAATTTCGCATCATACTATTTCTCACACACTTGAGACGAGTGTGGCCTGAATTAATAGAGAAGCGTTTCTATGCAAGTGATTTGACGTGATAGCCATGTTTTTAGCGTGTGAGGGATCTTAGTGGAGTTGATTTAATTTCTGCTGCAACCAGTTTGGGTATATTATATTGCTGTGTTTGGTATACATGCTTGGTTAACAGGAGGGGTTATTGCGTTTAATGGAGCTCCTGGTACTTGATTTTTTTTTGGTTAAATTTACTTTCGGAAGGGCTTTCATCTTTCGATTGCAGTAACCCTGTATTTATCACGGACACTGATCTGCGTAATTTCCAAAGCATGGCTTTCCATATTTTTTCCGGCAGATTGCAGAGGGCTACTAGATGGTTATTGAGCTTAATTTTGATCGATACGTATGAGCCTTCTGGTAGTCTGCGTGTATTGTTAACCGGGGACGTCTCAAATTTGAGACTTTGAATTTTGACCTTAATGACTTGGTAACTGCAGTAATATCTGAAATTATAACTGGATTTCCTTTGGGGTGTTATTTCAATTTGGTTAATTTGAAGCCTCAAATAACCATTAAAGTAGCACTTATTATACACTATTTCCTCATGGCTAGACATTGCTTGCAGTAATTACTCCTATTTTATTGATTCATTATTCATTGAATTATTGTGGAGCAATGTCGTCTGTCAGACGTGTTTCTTTACATTAACTTCGTAAATCTTGCATGTAGAGAAATGTACAGTCGAATAATTTCAACTTTATTTTGGTTATGTGAGAGCAGCTTCATACAGTAGTTTTAATCAGAGCCTTGTCTTTTTCAAGTTGCGAAGAGTAGTTAACACGAGGCTTTTCCAAAATTATCATGATCTCCACAACTGTGCCAATAGTAAATTGTTTTCGATCGTTCTAAATAACTTGACCTATATAGTACACATGCACAGGAGGTGGTGAAGTTTTCACCTGGGGCTGGAGCGAATGCGTTCCAAGCATACAACCCACTCCGGACGAGAGTGAACAAGTGCAGGGGGATGACGCATCTGCATGTGCTCCAAGCACAAGCTTACAATCGTCTCCAAGAAACAATGCGGGTGCTTCTCACACTAAACCATCTTCGCATGCTCCCCCTTTGCGTAATAGTGGGGCCTTACCAGGCAAGCAGAGTGGCCGACAAACCCATCGAAATCTGACGTGCAAAACCACTGATAGCAAGGGTGCTGAGGAAATTCTCAAGAAAAGAAAAATTGTCAGCTTTGAACATGGAGAATCTCCCGAAAGTCCTACTGCAGCTGAAGAGAATGTTTTTGCTCCACCGTGTTTGGTCAACTTGGATCCTGGAATCAGGATTAGTATAGTTGCTGCAGGTGGACGTCATACGTTGGCTTTATCAGGTGAGTTTAGTTTCAAGTGTTTGACCAACCATTTTCCTTAAGCTTCACAGGGCTATGATCGCCTATGACTATGTAGGTTGGAATGTATGAATATTTCTGAACTCTTGTTTCTCTGGGGAACAGATGTGGGTCACGTTTGGGGTTGGGGTTATGGAGGTGAGGGCCAACTTGGGTTGGGCACCCGCATGCGGATTGTATCATCCCCGCAACTCATTCCGTGTTTCAATTCACCAGAGAATGGCATTAGTAGTAGTGGAGCTCCTATTCCTGGGAGTTCCATAAAAGCAATCGCTTGTGGAGGCCGCCACAGTGCCATCGTTACAGGTGAGTATGCAATTACAACATGCAAAAGGGTTGAAGATAAACTTTAAGTACATTGAAGATAAAAAATTCTTCGAAAAGAATATTGTTTCAATTTTAAAAGTTTACCATACTAAAATATCCTAGCGTACCTAAGATTCGTTTTGCAATAATAATCACCATTCAGTTTTTCTATTTTCAAGGAATCGAGCCGTTTACTACAATGCAACATTGTACAGGAATGCATCTGATTGTTAACTGGAATGCAGTTGCTTCCAATTTGCGTGTTCTGATCATGCTTGTGTTCATAGCATTACGCAACGTTTTGTGCACTAGCAACTCTGCCTTACTCGTTATTTGTAAGTTCAATTTGTATCTTTAAGACTTGTAACTTCTGTTTTTAAATTGGTTTTTCAACCACAGATGCTGGAGCTTTGTTGACCTTTGGGTGGGGTCTATATGGTCAGGTTTGTTGCCATATTTTCCTTGCTATTGGTGTTTTGTTATAAACATTAGATTATGCTGAGGATTTAGATACACAACAGATTTGCGTTCTTACTTGCGGGAGCTTATTGCTTCGTCAGTGGTTGAAGGATATTAATGATGTGTTTTTATCACACAAAGAAGTCTTGGTGATATGAACGAGGCATTAATGTGTTAGGGTAATCTTTTGGGCATCGCTTCTGTTGTTAGCAGGTCGGTCAAGGCAGTAATGAAGATGAGCTGAGCCCTTGTCTTGTTTCAGCGATGGGAGGACTTCAGGTCACAGGGATAGCAGCAGGCTTGTGGCACACTCTTTGCATTACTGATATTGGAGATGTATATGCTTTTGGCGGCAATCAATTCGGTCAACTTGGTGTGGGTGGAAACTCTGCAGAGGTTGCGTTTCTTTTTTCCATTTGAGCAATCATTTTTATATCACGTGCTTATAAATGTCCCGCATTTAAGGCTGCAAATTTCTCATTTTGAATTGGAAAGGATTTATTTGATTCAAAACACAAACTATTTTATTTTCTGTAGAGCTTATTCGTCTTATATATCAACAGCACGCTAGGCCTCTAACCGACCTGGTTATGGAAATCCTGAAAACAGTAGTATAGCAGGCTCTGGGGAAGTTGGTTTGCTTGGAAAAGGAAGTAGTCATCAGGATCTCCAGATGACTCCTGCATGAAAAACAATATAGATGTCTCAAGATATTCCTTGTGGAACCTTGAACTTATGTTTGTATCCAAATTTGATTCATGGTTGTTCTTCAATACTCTATGTTCACACAAGCTTTTTCATTGTTTCAGATGTCTCCACGATTGATCGATGCACCACTTTTGGAAGATGAATCGTGTGTGGCAGTTGCATGTGGTGCTCGCCATAGCGTAGTTTTAACGGGTATCTGCTGACCCTTCCTATTCTCTACCTCTTTTTGGTTTCTTGGGGTACAATAAGAACAGCATGATTCACTAAAATAAATAGTTTATAATTTGGATCTTTCGGCAGGTGCCTACGCAAATATTCTATCGTTCATTTCATTTATTTATTTATTATCCTGATTGAGATGTTTGGTGCACCTCCAATTAACATGTAACTTTTGCTAATCTTCAGGTTCAGGAAAAATTTTCGCTTGGGGTTGGAACAAGTATGGTCAGGTATGATTATTACAACCTAAGAATTTTGTCTGACTTTTAATGTACAGCTACATTAGACGCTCCATATCAATGCCTACTTTATAAAGAAACTTACGTCTTGTGTATAAATACAGTGAAGTTATAAACAAAGTGTAATTGTTAGGAGTATGAATCCCCAATTATGAGCATTAAATGTTGAAGCTTCTATGTTGGTATCTATAAGGATAAACCCTGTTTTTCCATATTGAGGGATTCCTCCGTCTTTTTGGCAATTTGAAGCCCAATATACATCTTGTCTTTTCTTAAAATGGGGACGTGGATGAGGTCAGGGCTCTCTAAGGGATTTTGGGGACTGATAGTTTATGTGTTTGTGCAGTTGGGTTTGGGTGACAACAATAACAGAGATCTGCCGGTGCAAGTAACTATGAATGATGGTGGGCGTGCAGCCAATATTGCCTGTGGGTGGTGGCACACGCTGGCTACGGTTCATATCAAGTGATTTTACAGCATCAAAGGAGTCTCATGCAATCTGGCTACTTGAACATGTTTTTCCTCTGTGTTTGCATGGAGTTGATGAGAGCTTTTTTTACTGGCTAGTTCTTGCAGCTAGTATTTCTCTTTTCCAAATAAGCTGCTCACAAGAGAATTATATGAAGTTGTCTCTGAAGTAACAAGTGGGCATTGGATTTCATCTGCTGTTCACATGTTTCCCAAGTACCTTGTGTTTCGAATATATGGATGGGTCAATATTGCAGTCGAATATTTTTCTTTTCAAATTGAGTTAATTGTGCAGAAGTATTCTGATTGTGTGCTTCAGTCCATTTCACATGTAAAACTACTGTTAAAATGTCATCTAATTTTGCTGATATTAAGTGGTGTTTCTCAGTATCTTACTGCACGACCTGTGCCAGGAGACAAATGTCTGAAAAGATCAATCGCATGCATCCAAAGATGGATACACCGTACTAAAATTCCCTGTTCAAGTGGAATTGTATGCCAAACCCATGATTAATTCGCGTATATGATTACAATTTCACCTTTGAGGATTGGAGTATGTGACTCAAAGGTGTATTGGTCACATCACAACCTTCTGTCTCTTGGATCATTAGAGTAAATATTCTGTTCCAATTATCTTATGCATGTATTGTTGATGATAATTGTATGCAACCATATCACCTTGTTTCACCAAAAGCGTCTAAATATGATAATAACGATTTTTGTACACCTGGATTGTGGCCAAATTTGATATATTCCAATCTGGAGGGTTCTTCTGGAAATATATAAAATTGACCACTGCAATAAGATTGAATGAGTTGAAATGATAATAACAAAAATAATTCTGATGTTGACCACAAAATAATGTTGAAATTTAAAATGCTTTCGAGAAATACATTGTATGAGACATCATGCAGTTGTAATGTTACTAGATGTACATGTTTATAGCCACATTCACTTGATTTGCACCTATTACGAATTTTATTGTATTGTTGATCTAAGCCAATAAATCTATTCATCTTCTTTTAATCACGTTAAAAATAGATTATATATTGTATTGTCACAAAATATGTATGTTTTAACATAATATAAAAGAACTTGTGATGAGCAATATACATCTAAAATGTTTATATTTTATAAAATCATTATTTTATGTTTCAAAATTTTGATGGATAGTATTGCTATAAATCTATGAAATAAGTTTTAAAATGAAGATACTATATATTAATAGTGATTACAATGCTAATAAAATTGCAAAACATTCAAGTGTATATCAAATCAATATTAGAAGGCATCCATGATAATTTAAGATATAATATTCAAAGAAAAATAGCTACCTACATTGACAACACATGGTTTGTGCATTATCATTCTCACATCAAAGTTAATAATGCATTTTATAAAAAAAAAAAACTTGGATGTTTTTATTTTTGAAAAATATAGTTTTTAGGTTAAAATAAAATGGAAGCCAATTTATCTTTTTGGTTAAGTCACACAAAAAATTGATAGCTTGTAAGTAGACTTTTAGAAACTATAAAAAAAACTATGTCTTTCATATAAAAAATAAAGTAAGATTATTTCTTTTTATCAAAGTGAATACCTTGAAAGCATAAATAAATTGATTGGTTGATGTTACTAATTCTAAAAAATAAATACTCCAAATCATATCTAAAGTTTTTATACAAATAAATAAAATCTTTGATCTAATAAACAAAATTTAAAAGAAGTGTCTTTAAGTATTTCATAAAAATATACCAAAGAAATAGTTACATTCATAGATCAACATTAATCTTTTTTAATTTTAAATAAAATTTAATATCAATATAATTTATAATGAATGAATAAACTCTTTGTAATATAATCAAACATTAAATAATTTAAAAATATTAATATTGTTTATAGCTTTAGGTATAAACATGTTGATTAATTTTTGTCAAAGACATAAGTATAGATATACTTCTTAATACAAAATATTCTTATATACAACCAAGAAAAAATACATTTATTAGACAAGAAGACAATAGAATGTTATTGTTGGATATAAAAGAATGGAGACTTCAACCAAGAATATATACAAAGAAGGGCATTGATAAGACCAAAAATAGTCTTAGTTTTTCTATTGTATATACTTACTTTTAAGAAGGCCATGCAAAAGTTTTGTTAGAACTATTAGGCTTGTGGGCAAAGAGTCTAAGTTGTAGAATAATTCTATGATGGTTTTTAAGATAGATACAAATTACGGAAGAAGTTTATATTGCAATATATTGCATAGAAAAATATATAAAGATTAAAATTCTATTGAAAGGGATTTATTAACATTTCTTCATAAAGACATTATAAAATTGATTCAATTTCACATACTTATATTTTTTTTCTATTTTCTAAAGTCATCTAAATAATTATAAAAGACTTACTTTTTATTATGTTTCAAAAAAATTATCATAAGATTAAATTCAAATATAATGAAAATACTATTTTTTTATTTTTTTATATAAATATCATGTATTTTTTAACTATTAGAATTAGAATGGTCCAATAAAAACTATTAAAATATATATATACAAAGAATTTAATTGGTTTTCACATAGATTACAAATAAATCACTCTTTGATCTAAAATATATATCAACTTGCATAATTGGGTTTTTGATTTGGTATCAAAGAAGCACAATTAGACATGGTTTTATTTTAGACAATGAGATTAATAAATCTACAAATGATCAAAAAAAATTGATAAGGTTAAACAAAAATAAGTATTTGTTGTTAAACTTATAAATGTATTAATACTAAACCTATTGGATCAAATATCTAATTATAATTTAAATATAATTCTATTAAAAGAAATATATATTTAAATATATTGTAATAGATACTAATAGTAAAATTGAACTATTATACTGATAACAACATATTATATTACATATGTTTGGCATGACTAAAACATAAATTTAAACAAATTTTCGTTAAAAAATATTTTATTAAAAGAAATATTTTGTAAAAAAATTAGAAAACCTAATGTAGATGATAAATTTATTTTATTTTTTTAAAGAAATTAATTAATTAATTAAACTCTATATTTAACTAGATATATAAATATAATAATATATAATTTAATTTAATTAAGAAGTAACTTAATATAAAATTCTTAATCACAATTATTTATCAATACAAGTATATTTTATTTTTAAAAATTTAGATTTATTTTCAAAAACTTAAAAAGAAAATTCTTTAGATAAATTACTTCTCTACTAGATTTGCATTATTTTCATATAATAGATAATATCTATAATAAATATAATAATTTTAAATTTATATATATTTTATTTCAAACAGTAATAATATTAATCATTTTTATCAAGATTTGTGTATATTTTTGAAATATAATAAAATAATATTAAGTATTGGAAATGATATCAAATAGATAACTAGTTTCTTATTCATTACTAACAAACCCATCTTATTGCCAAGACAAATTTTAGATGTATTACATAAGACTTCCTTTTATAAAACAAAAGCAAACTTAAATGTTGTACTATATGCATCAAAGTCTTTTCACAACCAACCATCTAAATAGTAATGTTTGGATAGAATCTTTCTTTCTATACATTTCTAATTTTATCAAAAAAGCATATATTATAGTGATTGAGGTAGGTGAATGTATTATGAAACAAGAGGTCTTTAGCTCAATCTCTAGTACCAACAAAGATTCCATTGCTTCATTTTTTTTCTATTACATACAAAGTGTGCTCTTGCTTTTAAAACAAAGTATCTTTGCATGGGCTCATTACTTGTGAGCACATGGGCTATTAAGGCAAGTGGGCAAGCTAAAGAATTTTTTACTTGGCTAAATATCTCAAATTGCATGTCCAAATATCTTAAATTTGCATAAAAGTCTTCTACAAACATCCATTGCATAATGTGTAGATAAAAGAACATAATAATAATAATACTAAATAATAACAATGAATATTTAAATAAAGAGTTGTTGCATTACCACATGATTTGCTACAAGAGTGATTGAGTAATGAATTGATGCAACTTTTTTTCCTTAAATATGTTTACCCCATCCATAACAAAAGTAAAATAAAATTCATTCAAACAATTCAACGATCAATCAAAACGAATAATTTATGTATGGGCAAGATGTGGTGGTGGTACGTGGGATTATTTTGAGAGTGATTGAAAAAATGTGATGAGCTTGGGTTTGGTTATTACTCTTATCCTTTGCTTGATTGAACTTGGTAGTATCAACGTTCTATGACCATAAAAGTTAAATAAAATTTTTAAAAAATATTAAAGAAAAATAGTAATCACAATTAATTACAATTCTTTGTATTATTGAATTATATTGTCTACTATGACCCTTTTGACCTCTTCACAAAATCTAACTGGACCCAAATGGATTCTCCTTGTGGGCTCACCTGCAGTTATTGTTGTTAAAACCAACAACAAGTCACACAAATAATAGTAACACGCACTAAAAAACAAAACAAAAACAAACCCAACACAAAAACAACAACAACAACAACAACAAAACACTTACTTGGCTTCAGAGCATCCCACTTACCATAAAATTATATCATATCAAGATACTATTCATTTGCTCATTATTCTCATGTACACACTTTCATGCACACATTTTACTTTTAAAATAAGTGAATAAAAAGGAAGTCTGAAACAAAAGGAGAAATTCACTCACCAATAAAAAGGTTATATTATGGTTACCAGTGCCACCAGAGCTTCCTGTCCTGGCTATGATATAGATGCTTATATTATTGGATTGAAATACATAAATATATATATATATATATATATACACTCACATACATATAAATGAATAAACCAGTGAGTAAATGTATGAGAAAATATCCAATTACCAATGGTTACACCAAACCATATATATATATATATATATATATACACACACATACACACACACACAGTTTTTGTAGTATTTGAGTTTTGATGTTTCATGAAATTATATTTACTACCCACAATTTTATGATTTTACTATAAAAATAAATAAATTACTAAAAGTCCACTGGTACCATGTTCCACATTTTCAACTACATTTTCTGGCATTTAAAAGAAATATTGTTTTAGTTTTTGTTGAAGTACAAGTTGGTTTGCTGTTAAAACATATTATCCATTTTTAATGCTTAGCTAATTCAATCTTTAAAACCTTTGATGTACACAAAACCAACAAGAGACCAACAACAACAAAGTTTCATGAATTAAACTTATCAATAACACATGTTTCATGTGTTGAAAGTTCTAAGCTC